TTTACAAATTAATTTTCGGACTTAAAGCGGTTTCCTTTTAACTGACGCTGTTTCCTCTTTTCTAGATCCTTGCTTGTGTTGTATTTACTCTCTGATGTCTGTCACTTAAATTCAAAGCGTCTGCTAAATGAATTGTAGAATTGTTGTAGACTTTTGCTTCTTTTTCATCTCTAATATTGCTCCTTTTTTTTTATAACATTTTGTAAAGTTGACTCTAGGAGCAATGCAAGAAATGTCCAATCTAACTGTCCAAATGGAAATAACATCTATTGAAAACTGTTCCTGATACGACTAACTCTCGCCAACAGCACTTCTATTATCAGAGGGTTTTAAAGGGAACACCTACCTGCTATTCTCCTAACTTCATGCTCCCTCTGGTGAGATGAAATCCTTCTTGTCTGACAGGATTGCTGTTTCAAAATCATCTTTAAATTCCTTAATATCTTGTGTGTAAGTAAGATTAAACTGGTTTAATTTATCATCTTACTGTACATGCAAAATATAATGTGTCCTCCAAAGAACAAATCTTCCTCAAGAATTATTATTATGATTTTTACCTGCAATTCCAATATATTTCCCACTGGGTCACATGACATATGTATTACACTGCTTTGCTGAGAGGCAGAATCCTGTTTTACCTTGTTGGACATTGTCTCCGAGCTCTTGGAGCAGCTCCTGTCGGGCCTGGTTCCTCTGGTGTTTGCGTCCATTGTAGTGCTGTAAAGCCATCTGAGGATTGTTGAAGGAAGCATCACACAGGGCACAGTACTTGTTAGGGTCCTTCAGATCAACCTCTGTGCTGGGTGTAGCTGTGGTGGCTCTGGGGTCCAGGAGATGTTCCATATCACTACTTCCTGCTGATTTCTGGTTGGCATGATCATAATCCTGTGTCACACTTGGTAAAGTGCTCGACTCTATGTACCTGTCTACAACAGCAATAAGACTTGAATCAATTGAAGTTCATTTGTGTTCCACTTTTTACACTTTATCACGTCAGTTTCTGTGTAGATCTTAAATTCACAGCTGTACATCACTTTTCCTTTACACAACTGTACCTGTGGGCTGAAGTCCTTTTTTCCCCAGATTTTTTGTGTGGACTTTTCCTTCATAGTGGGATCTAGCCACCACGGGGGAACTGAACACCATGTTACACAGCTCACAGAAACGATCCTTGTCAGTAGTCATGGTCTGCTGAAAAAAAAGGCATGAACAAGACTGACTTATTTTGAGAAGAATTTGTATATTTCCTTGCATAAATATGTACTCTGAAAAAAGCATCCCAAGTTCTACCACTGCTTGTACGAAGTTGAGACTGTTGCATCCATTCACTACACTCCCCACGTTCTTAGGGGGGGGTCCATCTGTGCATCGCTCTCGTCATCATATTCTTTGTTAAGGATTTTGCTGGGTCATTAAAACGAGGACTCTTATTCTTGATATTACAAGAGGCTTTCAGTGCTTTTGGTTTGCTTTTTTTCAATTTTTTGACATTGCAGATCAATAATGCAAAAAAAAAAAAAGAATAAAGACAAGTGTAGAATGTCTAAAGGAGTGCTAACCTGGGACCCCGTGGAGTGTTTGTTCATCTTCTCAGCTCTCTTGGCCTGCAGGTACACCCGGAGTTTCTGAGCATGTTTCTTTCCCTGCAGTTGGAGGATAAAGGAGTTGTGATAAAAAAAGATCTTTAACCTGTGGAACAGTTCCATGATTAGTGCTTCAACAGCTGCACACACCTCGTAATGGGACAGCCTCTGCGATTCAAAGAGCAGCACAGCCTCACACACATGGCAGTAGTCATCAGTGAGAAGACCCTTTAGTAGCTCCTCTTCACTCCTGTCTCCCGAGTGGCTTAATGAACAGTCACCTGAACATTACACACAAAGAATTCAGAGGAAAATTAGTTAAGCCAGTTCACACTCAAACAACTTAAAAATGATGTCATTACATTCATTTGAAAAATCCTTTCGAAGTGATTTGGAAAAATATTCTCTCAAGAAGTAAAAAAAATTGAGATGTTTCACTTCTTGTTTTTCTAATCTGTATATAATGTAATAAAGTATTGGACAATAAATAACTTAAGTTCTACATCAGAGCTATACTCACTGTCTCTGTTGACAACACATACTGAAGGCAAGTTAAAAAACTATTAAGAAATAAGTTTGTTGAAAAAAAACAACAACTGCTCAATCAAATGTTCTGAATGTGATAAAAGTCCCCTGCGACAATCAAATCATCCCCCCCCCCATGTTTCAACAATATATGTTGATAAAACAATGTACTGCAATGCAAAAGCCAGTCTTATGTGGATCAATATATTGTATTTAACATGTATCCAAAGTCTAACTACCCCCTAACTTTATAGAAATAAAACTATATAAATGTTTATGACCAAAGTATTTCTTGGGAAAGAGGTACAGAGATGTCCATCCATCATTACTTTTCATAAAATGCCAACATAGAAATTCCTAATTGATTTATTCCCTCTCCGTGTTCACCCCTGAAGAATTACTTTCATCAACACTTCTTAACATTTGTATAATGGATTGATTCAATTAATCTTTATTTGCATAGCACCAAATCATCAAACGTTATCTCAAGACAAATGTTGGTATCAAATGATCTCTTTTAGCATTTCCACTCTGAAATACTGTATATTCTTTAACTGCAGTCATGCAATTACTGAATGTAGGAGAAGTTATTCACTTTGTCCTGATAGTTATTAATAAAGTACATCAGGTTCTGCTCTTCCTATTTGAAACATGATCTTTTAGGACTCAAAATTTTGAACTTTCTCTATAACAAATACTCATGACAGCACAACTGTTCAGGCCTGGACTTGTTTAGGTCTTTCTTTTGTTTTTCTGATCACTGAGTTTCATTTTAGAGACTGTGTTGACATGCAACTTAAACAATTAAAACATCATAAAAAAGGGTTGAATAAACTGAAAGGAATGTTAAAATGTTTCTTTGTATCCTTGCACTGCAGCGAAGATTACAAAACAACTTTTTAAAAACGATTTTAAGTTGTTTGTCACAGTTATTTTTTTGGATAAAAAATATTTTAAAGTCTCATCTGCAAATATACTCTTTTTTCTCTTTGAGTATGCAGAATGATTGTAAAAAAAATTTGTTAAGATAACATTTCTCAGATTAATCATCGACATCATCTTTTATTAATAGCCTCTCTCTCTCTCTATATATATATATATAATAGAGAGAGACAGGAATCTGCTGTTAAACTAGGGATAAGAAAAAAGAGGAACTGAAATAAATGAATAAAGAGTAGACTAATAACTAAATCTCTGAGGCCCCACAACAGAGTAAACTAAGCATGCTTTCAAAATGTGTACGTCTCTGAATCCTCTTGTGTTATGAAATAAGACAAATAGCGTATACACGCCATTAATGCTCCAATAAAATAAGGCATTTCTAATTTAGTCTGCAAAGTCATACCTACGGGTCAAATGAACCAATGACTGCCATGGATAAATGAAATATAACCACTTTGACAAACAGTGCCCACAATATCCACGTCTGTAGCCTAGATACATTTCAAATATTATACTTACCAAATGATAATCTCAGTAGTGGTTAACAGGAGAACAGATATTTTACTTGAGCCTATATATTTTTTAATATGTATTATTTTCTATTCACTATTTCTATAGTATAGTATTTCTATAGCTGAACCAGTCCACCAAGGGACAGGTGATCATTCTGAAAGGTAGGCTGAATATGTTCAGTTTAATTGAGGAACAATACCAAAACTATTTTACAATACTCTATTTTTTAGACCTCCAAGCTTGTGTTTTGTGCCACTGGACTGCAGTAAACTGATAGACTTAATTTAGGATTTATTGTCATAATAAAGTCAAATTAATTTCGACAGCTTAAAAGTTTGTTTGGTGTACTTGTACCTGGCGAAACGACATATTAGCCAACGATAGAAAACTAGTTACTTTTACTAGGAACTACCTTATCTAATGGTATGTGGCTGATTTAAATGGCCAGCTGGCAGCGATGGTTGGGGACTGAGTTTGCGGAAATTAGCTCAAAGTATTTGTAACCAGCTAAACGCTCCCGGACCTGGGAGACGGATAACCCATTTACTCTGGATGACAGGAAGGGTGTGTTAGTAAACCACACCTTTGACGAGTCGGGACGCACGTATACAGACACGATAAAGGCCAATTTCTAACGTGACTAGCGTTAGAAACTCGACATTAGCATATTTAGCTAAGGAGTTAGCTTGCTCACTCGATGTGTGAGCTGGCTAGCCAGTTAGCCAAAAAGCTAACCTTGGTTTTGCAGGAAGGACACAAAACGAACAATGTTTCACGTTCTAGACAAAACTCACCTTCAACCTGGGCACTACCTATTTTAGTGTTTATTACTTTGTCAGCATCTGTCACAGAAGCCACATTAGGGGCACTAATAGTTTTATTTCGAGCGTCTGACTCCGCTAGAAGCGAAGTACAGACACTTTCGACGTCCATATTTTCCCTAGCTGTTTGGAGCATGCGCAGTGATGTCAGCGTATTTATAACCCGTCATCAGATAGACCAAGCAGAGGGTTTACAGTCTGTTTTATTTATTTTTAAAAAACGTAACATTTTAAGTTGTTCAATTATTGTCTGAAGATTGAGGCTGTAAACATACTTTAATTTTTATTTAATTCATTTTTCCTTTTTCACCTCTTTTGTTGATGATGATATCCTGGATGAAAAACTGAAAATAAACAGGAATAGCATACTTTGATACAAGACAAATGGGGTCTTCTTTTGACATCGAAATTTAAAACAAACTAACTAACTATACAATAATTTAAATCGTGTCATTATGTTGTTATTTTCAAGCATCCCAGTAAGCATAGTTTTCAATTCAGGGTTCACCCTCCCTTGATTCCTCTGTATGAAGCAATTTTAAATCCACCTCAAAGCTGAATTTTTTTTATCTAAGACCTAAGAAAAACGGGTCCACTCAGTATCATTTTTCACAATATATATTTTTTGTTACATCTATACAAATAAGTCTCTTTTCCCTCAATATCACTACACTACTGCGATATAGTTTTACACCATTTACATGAAAAAAAAAGTTCATATCAAAATAGATATTTTATTATTGGACATTATGGTTTAACATTTGCTTGCCACAAGAATACTTAATTTAATGCTTGAAAACAAATGAACTGATAAACAAGAAACTGACAAGATAAGTGAAACAAAATTCAGTTGTTAAACATCATGACAAGGACACTGAAGAAGAAGGTCCCTGGGTAGAAAAACAGTAAAGGGTGGAAAGCTGTCACTTCTTCTTCTGGAGCTCTCTGGCTAAAGCGTCCAGCTGCAAAGAAAGACGATACAAAAAGACTCACTTCACTCAATCAACTACATTTAGAGCTATTACATGGTAATCGTTATGCACAGTAAAGATATTGTGGAGAATGTTGAATGCTTGTACAACATGCATCTATGCAGCATTTTATATGGTAGCATTAGTTAATTTACAAGAATGTTTTTCAGAATACTCCTCCTCTGAGGTCTTAAGTAGCTGCATTCTCCTGCCTCGCACAGCTTGATCTCCTCTGAAATCTGAAAAACAGAACGAGTCAGAGTCTGAGAATTAAAGAACAGAAAACAAAAATATCTGAACACATACAAACAAACAATGATCCAAACCTCTGACGTGCTGAAAGAATCCAGGTCCCTTTTGCCTCCAGGGTACCAACCATGAGACCAGTGCTGGGCACTGGACAGCTGAGCCCCCACACATAGAAGCAGTCCAAGCAGCAAGACCAGCCGAGACGCACACATGGTATTCTCACCTGATGACAAAGGTGGACAATTAGCTCTGACAAAAAAAACAACTTATATATTTAAGCATTTAATATCTCATTTAGAAAACCAAATGTCAAAGCATTCCAATGTTAATTGAAGTTGCTGAAAATAACAGTCTTTGGTACAACTTGTGCACTGAATCTGAAAAGGCATCCTTTACTTTGCTAAGTAGAAAAACAATACAGACTATAGACCACATGGAGGGCATGGTCTGTCCCGTTTTTCCAGCATAAAGATAAACACTAGCACACAGAATTTATTTGCAATTTTCCTCCTTGTTAAAATGTTCTTTGGAATACAATTTTTGTAAATGCTTATTAACAATTAACCATCCATACAGATCTATCAATGATCCCATGATGGTATAATTAAGCCAAAGGCAAACATAGTACTCAGAACAAACATAAATCTACTGAATGATGAGACAAAAAAAAAATCACAACTTTTTTAGCCTAAAAGGAAGATAAAAAAAAAAATTCTCACTGAAATATTAATGCTTATATAAAAAAAATGTATTTTACAAGATAGCGCAGTAAAAAGTAATGTAGAGTTTAATTAAGATAGCGTCCTTACCTTTGTTTCAACTCTTTATCACTTTAAGTGTCTGTCAGCGCCCCTGCTTTTCTGTCGGTCAGTTTCTGAATTTAACTTGCACTTTCTCAAGTGTAATGAGAGATTCTGTTCAGCCTCCTCCTCCTCCTTAATATACCACTCTAAAAGGCCCCCCTCCCAAGAGACATTTCCATTATCATCCCCTTATTGCCCCCACCCATCACTGACCCCTTTGGTCTTTCTGTTCCCTGTGGTCAAATGAGGGGACTCTGGGGACAAGAGGTCCTGAAGACATGGACAATTCCAATTATCACCTGCAAACACCGCTGACACACCTGTGAAGCTCATCTGCTCATTACATCGTCCAAATCCACTTTTCAACAAAGCTACTCTGGCTGAATGACAGATTTAAGCCATTCAGTTAACAGTTTATTGATGAACATGAACTTTTTTGTATCGTACATTGCAGGACACTCAAAGTGGAGTGGACAATATCTTAAAAAGTGCCACTCACAGCATACAGCAGAGTGTAATTTAAACATAACTCATGAAAATGTTTACAGAGGAGGATCTTAAAATAAGCTATAAATGTGTAGATGACTTCTCGGCTCTGGCTTCTTCAGTCTGGGTCATGGGTCTTGATATTAAATGTATGGCTATAATAGGTTTACACAATATATTTTAGATCAAACAGTGGATGGTTTCCATTTCCTATTTTTGCACCGGTTGTGACCACATTGACCCTCCATGAACTCCCGACCCGGGTGACCCTTTAGTCAGGGGAAACACGGGGTCAGCCAATGACAAGCGGAACAAACATGGTGGATTCCTACCCACACCGTTGACAACATCCCTCTCAATTAAGGGAGGACAGGTATTTCCTTTTCAGAGGTTTAAATGCAGAACCAGATCTCACTCAGGAGGTGACTTTTATGTTCTACTGTTGACTCAGTTGAGCGCTGTGACGCACGGATGTTTGGTGCAGGGGATTGGTTATAGAAAGATGACTGCAAGAAGCGTCACTGATCGTAGAGGATTCGCCCCCTGACTCATTGATGTACATGAAGAAAAAGTAATTATCTACTCTGTGAAAAACAAAGAGAAGTTTAACAATTACTGATGGGTGGCTTTGTTGTTAAGTTAAGTCTTTCCATTCCTATATGAAAAAGCTTCAAAATACAGACAACAAAAGCACTCAAATGTGGCAACAGGTCTAAAACTGATACTCACAAACAAACCATCCTGTCACCTTTCTGTGTCCTATAATGTGACAGCACTCATTTCCCCTCATTTCTCTACCCTTAAAGCTCTGAAACTAAATCATTTATCAATACACCAATAAAACCATTGGATCAAAATGTTGCCCCGATCCTCCTGATCCTTGATCATTCTATTTCACTTCAGTGATTTGTTGTACATTTTGGCACTCACAAGAAACTGAATTTTAAAAAAAAATGAATGGTGAGAATTAAAGATGGTGAGATATGGAGACTTTCCATACTTGTAGGTAATATTGTCTCCATTTAATCCTTACTCCATTATGCAGATTTTGCATAATGAATGCTAAAGCTGAGAATTCCCTTAAGTCAGTAGAGGTGGACTTGTGTTCTGTGGTTTCCATTTCAAGTATCACATTGTTTAAGGTCAAACTTAACATGTTTCTTTAAAGATCTTTGAAAAGGAATAACACATCAGTGTAACTGAGTTGGTAGAGTTCTGCGTGTATAAATCATAATGAAAAACAACTAGTTTGAGATTTAAATTCTCTCGTCCTTTTTGCACTACACGGGAGAGATCCAATTTGTTAAAAAAAAGTAATTAAGTATACTTTAAGTCAATGTTAAACAAGTCACTTTTTACTTAGTTAGGTAGTTTTACTTGTGCTTTCATCAGAGTAATAGTACTTTAACTTGAGTAGAATCTTTGTACTATTCTACTCTTTCCACCTCTGTCTTAAAGCAACACAATGGATCGACTGAAAATGAAGAATTTAAGGTACACAGACGTTTGGTGGAGAATGGTGTCTCTCATTATCTATCAATCAATCAATCTTTATTTGTATAGCGCCAATTCATAACAAATGTTACCTCAAGACGATTTAAAAAGAGCAAGACCTTACTCATTGTTTTATCACAAAGACCCAACGCTAATCCATCATGAGCACAGCACTGAACAACATTTAGCAGTTACAGTGGCAAGAAAAAACATCCTTTTTAAGAGGTAGAAATCTTGGGCAAAACCAAACTCATGAAGAACAGCCATCATCCAAAACTCAACGGGCTTTAAAGATGGGATAAGGTGCAGGAAGAAGGACTCCCTAACCTTCTGTTCTGCACCATGTAGGTTACTCTGTGAGAAGTGTTTAATGTTACAGCTTTCTAGCAGAAAGCTCTGAATACCTATTCTTGTATAAAGCTTTGTATTTTTCTGTGCAATCTACAAGAAGGAACTTGATCCTTGCATATTGTTCCTTTAATGTAAAGGATACAGCCTGTGTTCTAAAGTGGATTTGAGTTATCGTTGTCCACACAGAAACATATTTATACAGTTACTCTAAATGTTTCCTTAATTATTTATTTTTGCAGAAAGCATGTTAATATTTGATGGGGGTGAAGGGTTAAAACAGTGATTGAAAACCTTTCATGAGCAACACTCAGGAGAACTGCTTGATTTATACCGCTCATCAACGATTGGCAATTATTTTGCACCACTGTACCGTTAGTCTCTCATTAGGACGTGGGCTGTAATGAGCCTCAGGTTGTTCTGACCTGAAACAAACGAGGGATGAGTGTATTGGAGCTGTCCGGCATGTTCCAACATTACACTCAGAGACAAACAAACACGGACAAAAGATAAAATCTCAAGCACTTTATTAGGTTTGAACAGTATCTTGCTTAGAAAGGCCATTTGGCATCATATAATTATATATAATTTTATCATATATATAATTATATATACATATATTCAAATGTTGAATAACAAAACACTAGAAACAGACAAAGGCAAATTAAAAAATAGGATTTGCTTAAGACAATTAATACCTAATTAAAAATGGCCAAACGAATCATCTGTGATACAGTTCAAAATGGTCCCGATACAGTTCAATATACATCTTTAAAAAAAAAAAAGCAGAGTGGAGGGGAAGAAAATAAAAAGAGCAAGGCAGCAGACAGGAATGACATATAAATAACCTTACATTATGTACAAGTGGGAGTGGGCAGTGACCACTGGGAAAAGAAAAGAAAGGTCTGAGGACCAAGTAAAAGAGCAAAAAGAAGCCGTAGTTGGATAGCGGTTAGCGGATAAAAAGACGTAAAGGACACACAACAGGTGGAGAGGAGAAGAGCGGAAAGTTTGAGTTTGAGTCTCTAAAAAAAAACATTTGAATTCTTTCTGTGTTCAGAATGCTCCAATGGGGCAAAGCTCCAGGAAGAAAGCGATGTGAAAGAGGGACGATGAGCTTCTTCTGCATAAACAATTCAGCTGCATTTGTCGAGGGACGAAAATTTGGATTTATTTTTGCCCTTTTTAGCACCCAGTCCTGATTACCTCCCCCCCCCTCATTTCAGTGATATGGAATGAAATTAAATCAAAGATGGAATTTGTTTTTAAATTACCTCAATGTTACGATTATCAGCACAATTGAGGGGTGGACATAGTTGAGACCAGAGGGAATGTCAAAGAATGGATGACTGACCCAGTCAAAGCTTTGGCCCTATTGATTTGTCACGCAAAAAAAAAAAAAAAAGGTTTGTCATCAGTCTGCAGGCGAGAGCGGGGAATACATATGGAGATGGGGAAATACTTTCGGATGACATCAAGTTTCTTTTGAAAACCTACTAAAGAGGCACTTCTCTAAGTTCACGATGGGTTGGTTGGCACAGTGTCTGGTTTTGCAGTCCAATTGCAGTGAGACCAAAAAAGGGATCAAAATGACCCAGACACACACAATTTCACTGGAATCAAAGAAAGGACAGATTAGCCAAACAAAAAACAAAAACACCCCTTCCTCTAATTAGTATAGAGACCCAGTGACAGAGTAAATAAATGAAGAACACAATGGCACCTAAACTAATAGTGCGGGCACTTGTGAGGCTTTGGAACAAAAAGAAGACCTGAAATGACAACAATGCACACAGTCAATGGTTTCAGTGAGCGGTCGATTCCTTTATCTGCTACTTCAAGTCCCCATAGGGGGCTTACAGAGGGGCTAACTCAGAGGTTTGAGACCTAAAATAGCTTCTCAAGATTGTAAATTAGTACCCATATTCTGAATTTGGAGGACATGTCAATATTCTGATCTTATCTTTTATTTGGTTGAGTATGTTTTTTTTTTTTTTAAGGGCTTCGATTTCGGTGCAAATAGTGCATGAGCGTTCAAACAATCAACATCGACGCAACATTCAGCCTTCCTGAAACGTCAGCATGAACTTTAATGACGTCTGCTGTCAAGAAATCAAAAACTGATTGTGCTCCTTTTTTTTTCTTCCTTGTTTGCGTTTCGTGAGTTATGTACATGTACGGGACTGTTTTAACTTACAATCTACATTAAGAATTATCAATCCAAATATAATGATATTAAAATCTGTTTTTCTTTTTGAGATAAAAATATTTCAACACGATTCGGATGCCGAGATGAACTCGAGCTGTATTTGTTCAATCTCTAATTTTAAAACAATCCTGGCATTGGCCATTTCCTGAGCGGAAATTCAGCTGACCTGAAGCCCTGTGGTTAGCTGACATTATTCATATTCAATTACAATCAAAAAAGGGCACAGCCTCATTTGTGACATCTTCAAAATAAAAAAGAAACACTGTAGTTCAAGTCTGAGCATCCTCCAAGGACAGCCTTAAAAAAAAATAAAAAATAAAAAAAATCATAGCACACATTGCATGGCACGCTTAAGTAACATTGTATCCGTGTTTGAGGACTCTGTTAGCAACAGCATTCAAATAAAACATTCCTCGGTTTCAGAGTTCATAGTGGGAAATAAGAGGGCTCATTCTTTAAAAGTGTGACAGCACAGCGAAGTGATGTGACACAGATGTAGAGGTATAAAAAAAAAAAGGAGTTAAGTCAGGCAAACCCATACAGAGAGAAATACTCGATAGAATCTACTAGAAATACTGAATGTGTCTGTAAACAAGAAAGAACTATGCTGGGTAATATAGCATTGTTGTTTTTTTAAGGATGCCTTAATGGAGCAACTTGAGATTGCTTGGCTCATCAACATGAGCAACATTTGTTGTTGATACTGTAACAGACTGTAAATGAATGATTTGATAAAAGACAGATGAATTCACAATATCCCTAAATTAGTATTTGGTGTGGGGTTACAAAAAGTCTATATTTATTTGTCTTTATTCTTTAATAGCTGAGGAATACGTTGGCTACAGATGCTTTCGGGTGCTTGTTGTCCAAACATGGTTGTGAGAGTGTCGCTAGTGAGAGGAGGACTCTCACTCTCTGTCTGTCAGGACCGCTGACAGACAGAAGACAGCGGTGTTAAAAACACTGTGCAGTCTCTGTCAGCTTCTGCACCAGTTTAAACAGACACACGCACACTGATGCTCAGAGGAAAGTCATGGCTCCTGCTCTTTAGTTTGTATGTATGTGTGTGTGTGTCAACCTGAGTCAATGAGCTACATCACAGCGTTTCTGATCTCCAATAGTGAGTGACCCTTTGAACCCTTTGACCCCTGAAACAAAAAGGGGGGGAATTGTAATTGGCTCATTAGATTGGGATTTAATCTGTAAAAGAAAAAAAAACAGCTCCTACGAGTGGAAACAGTCCAGGATGTGTTTGTTACTGCTACAGCGTGGCTCTAACCAAGCCAACAATGTTTGAATGTTTCTCTCCCTAAAAAGTAAAAAAAAACAAAAAACAAACATCCTTAATGTGACTGGATTTTTTTTTTACATTAGCCTCCAAAGCACTAGATTTATATTCATATATATTTATATATTTATATGTATATACCAATAAAATACATTACAGGTGCCACCCGAATATGCAGCCAAACTCAAAACCGTGTCTGAAACCAAAGTAAGAAGATGCAACACAGTAAGTGTATATACATGTTGGGGGGTGAGGGAGAGGTGGGAGGAAAATAGGGAGAAGGGCTGTATTAACAAGACCAATATTACAAAATATTCAAGAAGGCATCTCAGTTATTTTCTCCGTCCGACTGCGCTGCCCTGTCCTCCTCCGGGCCGAGGCCTCTGTTCCCTTTTCCTCTCCGGGCAGTTCGTCTCATCTACAGATCATGTTGTTACGAGTCTTTTCCATCAGAAAAAAGGGAAGGTAAAAAAATCCATCCGATGGTAACATGCAGCTTCCTGCACGGTAATGTGTGTGTGCGTCTGACTGTGTTCTGGTGAGTGCATGTTTTGTAAGAAGTGTATCTGGACATCCATCCATCCACGGCAGGTGGCTACTTGAAGTTGGCGTAGTCAGAAAAGGCATCGATATACTCCTGGACCACTTTGTAGCAGAACTCGTACTGCTCCTGGAGAGGTGAAGTGTGACAGGAGAAAGAGCCGTGTCAGCTGGGAGAACGAAGGCTAGCATTTTGTGAAATAAGGGTTTTTATACCCTCTATCTGTGCTTACAGAACAATCACACGGTCAGTTTAAATAAAGCTGATTATATCTGTTTTTTTTTCATATAAATGTCAAACAGAAGATAATAACTTTAAAAGAAAAACAACAACGGTATTTGAGATATCTAGAATTCCAGCAGAACTCAAACCTCAACTCAAACCCACCAAATCTAATGTATTTAGTCTTTGCTAACATTTCCTATAAAATAAAACTAATTTATGTAAGGAATACTTTCAAAAAACTGTTTTTTCTGTCCTGCCACATTTGAACAGGAAGATGGATAACACCCTCACGTCTCAACAGTAGAGTCGACCGATATGGGATTTTCTTGAGTCGATACCTATACTAGGGAGGGAAAAAAATCTGATATAGGTATATTGGCCGATATCTTTCTTAAATCTATGTTCGATCTGTAGATATAGATATAGATACACACATTATTGTTTTGATCTCTCAGATTCAGTTATTGGAAAAGATTTATATTGGAGACAGGATGGTCACTAAACTGGAAAATAACCGTGCATGTACGTGCATCACTGCTTGACACGCTGTAGAGTGATGATGCTTGTTGTAAGCCATATAGCGCCCTCTGCTGGTGAAAGAGAACTACTAGTGTAATACAATTATATTCAAATATAATGCTGTTTGACTGGTGAATACATCAAGTATAGCTGCTCATATCTGTGATTAAATGAGCTGATACCGATAGTCACTGGATATGCTAATATCGGCCAGCTGATTAATTGGCCGGGCTCTACTAAAAAGTTTGATGTTAGTTAACAGATACAGTAGATAACCTCAGCATTTAGACTGGAAAGGGAGAAACAGCTAGCCTCACTCTTACAACGTAACAAATCCACCAACTCTAAGGGGGGTCATCAGTTACACTTTTGCACTAAGACTTGGACCGTTATAACATACAGCCCACTTTTACACAGCAAAGTATTGATTCTACACTTTAATCAATTAGTGAGCCTTAGAGGAAGCTGGTAGGATGATTACACAGTATGGTGTGTAATCATGGTGTGTAAGTATGGTATGTACACTCTAATGTCACATCACAACTGTGAGTGTATTTCTGTATTTCTACATTTAGAACTACAAAATCCTGCAAAAAAAACCAAAAACCCTCTCATCCTTGAACTCTACAGTTTGAAGCTCTGTAGACAACTGAATATTTAAAAGCTAGTTCTGATCAAAGTTCCTCGGCCCCTCACCAGTGTCTGCACCATGTGTGGTCTCTGCAGTCTGAGGCTCTTGACTGTCTGGAAGACATCCAGGATGCCCTCTGCTTTCACCCTCTCCAGGACTGTACTCAACGCACAGAAAGTCCCTGTCCGGCCAGCACCAGCACTGCACACACACACACACACACACACACACACACACACAGGGCAATATTTGAACCTCAATGTCACATACTACAAGAAAGGCTTTGCTGTGAGATCACATGTTAAGAGAAGGAGCATAACAACATTTCTGGGAGCAGTTGAATGTCTTAAGGAAGAAGAGAACAATTCTTCTGAGCTGTTTTTTCCTGTGATTTAATAGCTGTAACAAATTCCCAGACACGAAAGCACACATGAAAGCCAGACGCATTTCCCTCTTCAAGACTATATATGACTATGACTATATATTTTTTATAATATCAAGTGGATTGATTCTGTTGCTGTAGAGGATAAAAGAGCAACATACTGAGTGAGGAGTTGTGTGTGTGTGTGTGTGTGTGTGTGTGTGTGTGTGTGTGTGTGTGTGTGTGTCTTACCTGCAGTGCACTGTGATGGGGTGGTTGCCAGACTGCTGCTGCTGTTTCTGCACAGCAGCAATTATGTTGATCATTCCTTTACCATCAGTGGGGATACCCACCTCTGGCCAGCCGTGGAAATGGAACAGGCGCACCGCTCGAGCCTTGTTCTCCTAGGAAGATGAAGGAGGGCAAACAGAAGACATGAGGAGAAGCCTTGTGTGTAATATTAACAACGATTGGGAGCTGATAAATACATGTTTGTATTTAACTATCTACCTCCTTCATAGATTCATTTCTCACCCTGTTGTTGGTGACCAGCAGGTCCCGCACCGTGTAGCTCTCACTCTCCTCCTCCCTTTTTATCTCGATGGCGATGTCCCCGTGGACCACCACTCCATCACTGGGCCAATACTGAGCACACTTTTCCTGAAGGATTCCATATTGGAGAAGGTAAAACAACCACACTTGTTGACTCAGATTTGGATTTTTTTTTAAAAGGGAATCCAAACAACCTTAAGCCATCTAACACTCCAGCTAGAGCTTTTCTTACTGAGCAGCTGTACGACGAGTTCTGCTCTGATTATTAAACTGTTAAACCAGCATCACAGAGGCATCACCTTCACATGTCAATATTCTATTTCAGCCAGTTATTGACCCGACATCTAACAGTCGTGTTTGTTTCTCTACACAGACACACACCTGGCCTCTCTCCTCCAGCTCGGTGAGCATGACGATGGAGCAGCTCCTCCACTCCCAGATCATCCTCCAGAAATCCTCAATGGTGTGCTGCAGGGGGCCCTGACTTGCCATGTACGAGTCTTTTTGACGGTAACCCTGTGAGCAGAGGGAGGAGACGACAAGACGGATGAATAAAGGATATAAAAATAAACAGCAGGAGGGAGTAAAGAGGGCTCGATCGATCGCTCGCATTAATGAAATGATCCACTCTTATCGCAGGGTACTCACATCAATGAATGAGGCATTGACGTAGTCGGTGTTCTCCTCTCCTCGTTTGACTGGAATGATCACTCTGTTAAACTCATCTGTGAGGGGAAAAGAGAAACATTCACCTCAAACTCTAAGGAGTTACATTACATGGTTTATAGATTTACTGTGTGTAGGCACAAACAACAATACAATAACCCTATGCTAACAACTCTATGAAGAAAAGATCAATTCAAAAGGGAATTTATTACTTAAACAAAAACCACAATTACCTTTGAACAGAAAGCACAGGAAAATGTCCCTTCTCAAGACAATTTTAAAAACACTTCTAGTTCTAGTGGCATTGAACGTAGAGATACCTCGAAACTAGTGATAATAGAAGCTTGAAATAAAAAATGATGTAGTCAGCACAGAGGGAATGTGTCAAAATGTAGTAGTGCTTTTGAGTATTATTAGGGTTATCTTTTTAGGGAAATGTATCTTGAAACCAGAACAGATAAACAAAAGAAGAGTACATTCATCTCATTTCCAAACTCTGCTCTCAACATGTAGGAAAATGCTCTCATTTTTTGAAAAAGATAAAGAGTCTCCATGTTTGTAAATCTTAAAACCTGTATGTTAAGAAATATATCTTCAAAGGTATATCATCAATATATCAAAGCATAAAAACAAATGACGAAACTATGTGAAGAATGCCTCGTGAGAAATATCTCGTCAGAAGCGGATCATTTAGGATATTCGATTTGTACTTCTTTGCAGTGGACTCACATGGAATGATCTGTAGGACTCTGTTCTTCTTCATGTTGGCGGGCAGGTTGCCTGTTCTCATCTTGTCATTCTGAATCTTGATCGATGTCAGCTTCTATAAATTTTGAAGAACACAACTTAAAAAAATTGCGGGCTCAAACGATTGTTTGCATGTTAAGTGGAGCGACACTGTTCAGAAGCAGAGACGGTGCCTCTTTGGAAGAAGACAACACATTAAAACAGACCTTGAATTCAGCCTCCAGACCGCTGCAGCCAGCTCCAGGGGAGGGGGCGTAGAGTTTTGCCAGGTGGGATTCCAGAGAGGTCACCTCCAGCTCTGTGTCTCCGTACAGGTAGTGCTCTAACAACGCCTGGAAAATGAACACGTACTGCATCTGTGGGACAGAGAGAAGGGGGTTGTTTGGAAAAGTCGCCAAAACAACATGACTACATTTTTTTAAAGTTCCAGTCATGACTCTTTTAAAAACACATGGGCTTTGTGTAGGGAGGCTTGATATCAATGATGTAGCAAAAAAAAAAGAGAACAGCAACCAGCATTTAAGGTCCAGATTTGACATTTGACATCAGAACTCAATCATAACTCTCTCTGACCACCAGCAGAGCATACTGGCGCTACACTAAACAGCCAGTATAGATTGTCTGCTGGTGTATCAATCGACTGAGATCTTATATGGATGAAAAAACCTTGTTATTGATCATTTCATTCTTGTGGTTCTACATTTCAAGTTGGAAAATCCATAATTCTGGTTAAATGGGGACCAATCACATCCCTGATGAACAGAAAGTGGTATTTAGTGTCAGAGTGTGTCAGCACTGCGCCTACATCAGTCTGAACCATTTGACAGCGCTGGGCTCTGATCCTGGTGACGAAGCCAAACACGTCCACCTTCCTCTCAGACATCATCATGTCCAACATGGCGTCGATCACGATGAACGTTCCTGTCCTCCCCACGCCTGCACTGAAAACAAAGACATGTTGTGAGTCATGTGCAGCTGGCAGTCAAGGAACCAGACACTAACTATGCAAAACAGAGAGTTATAGCTTTGATGCTCTTACCTACAGTGGACCACGATTGGCCCGGCATACTGAGGGTTGTAATTCTTGACCTTCTTGAGGAACTTGAGCATCCCGATCGGTGTGAAGGGCACCCCGAAGTCTGGCCAGCTGGTGAAGTGGAACTGAGTGACGAGTCTCTGAGGCTTCTTCCCAGACACGTCTCCAACCTGAGAAGTGAACTAACAAGGTCAAACACTAATCCACAGCACAACAAACGTTACCTTTTGTTTTGATTTAAGGCATTACACATTACCAAAGTTTGCTTAAGCACGGTACAGGACAACTTTGCTAGTGTGAGTGCACTCTTAAAAGAGAAAAGTTTACTCTGAATAAAATATTAATACTCTGATACCCTCACTGATGAGATCTTACCTGTTGAATGCAAAACTTGCGGATGGTGTAGTCCACTAGAACCATTGTGTCCTCTACAGACACGCGGATGTTCCCGTATGTCCAACAGCCCTGGTCCGGCCAGTACTGGGCACACTTACACTAAAACACAGAGAGTGATGGAACATTTAGCACACACGTAAAGATGTGTACACAAAGGAAATGAATCCTACATGCGTTTCATTTGAGAAAATAGCAGAAACAGAAATTGGGTAATATTAAAATCTTATAATATTGCATCTATGACAGAATGACAATTGATGAACGATGTTGTGAAATACTGAAGTCATGATTTGATGACTAATCTTGCCTGCACTGGCCTTCACAAAGGGGTCGACATGTAGGCGTAATAAGTGTACCCTTCAAGAAACTTGAACCAACCAGCCAACCATTCACCTCACTTATGTCGGTTTATTCTATACATAAAAACATCTGTTTCCTTTGAAGCTATTGTATGATTGTGTAAACAAAGTCTACAAACACACCCAGCATCATCCCTCCAGCTCTCCTACCTCTTTCCTCTCCTTCAGATTGGTCACCATGACAATGGTTGCTGTGTTTTGCTCCCATATCATCCGCCAGTAGTCGTTTACCGTTTCCTCCTTCGGCCCTGAGAGACAGAGGTTACAGATACAGAAACTTGGAGGACAAGAAATCAAATTGTAATTAAATCTTTTTCTGCTGCAGGAAAAATCCTTACCTTGAGCTGCGATGAATTTGTTCTTCTCTTGGTAACCCTGCAACAGATTTAAAAAAAAAGAAAAAAAAAGACGTATTAAAAGTTGATGCAATATACAGAAGAAACTTTTTTGGGTCGGGAAAAAATGCTGCACTTGTACAAACATTAATAAAGGAGGCGTTGATGAAGTCAGAGTCGGGAACTCCTTCCAGAGATGAAAGATGCACCCTGGAGTGATCATCTGAGAGAGGAAGCAGGACACAGAGAGAGAAACCAATAAATGAATTAAAGAGAAGAGCACATCAAGAGAGTCATTCTAATTACATATGGCCTGTTAAGAGGTTTCCTCATGACCGCCAAAGTACAAATCAGTAAATCTTTGTAGACTCTCTTTGAGTTCCAGCTGTCTGATTTACACTCTGATTGTATTGATAAATGTTTCTTAAAGCTTGAGACGGCAGATAAGAAGTCAGTAACTGTGAATGCTGCTTTGTTAGTGACAGTTTGTGTCACAGTGCTGGGGTTATGTAGTTGCTCACATGGCAGGATGTTGACATATCTGTTCTTTTCTTTATTCTCCTCCTTGGAGGCAGCGTCACATGATGCCTGGATGGGGCAGACTGGCAGCGACTGAACACAGAAAGGAAAAACAAGGCACATTTAAATAACAGTGAGAGCAGATATGTATCAGATTGAGACATCAGCGTGTGACCTCACACACAACTTCCTGTTTGTTTCAATTATTTGGGACTTTCTCAAACCACTCCACCCTCTCCTTACACATTTCCACTCCGTTGGTTTGCTCGCACGGAGGGTTGGTCACATGGAGTGCCGTCTACGACCTCTGAGTGTGGAGTGAGAGGGGGTTAAACCCTCACACAAATAGTCTACACCGATGTCGGCTTTTACTGAAAACCTGATGTTGTTCTTCTGTACATAAAACGTCTTTAAATAAAGGTTAAAATAGAATTATTGTAAAGATGTAAAAATAAAAACTTTACAATATGATCAAGATCTAATGAATGATTCTTATTTAATAGTATGCATGTCTATTTGACTGTGATGTGCTCTATGTTTACAGGGACTGTCTAATACACATCAGATTGGAATGAAAAAGGTGAACAGAAAAAAGAAAATAAGGAAATGCTACAACAGATGTAGTTTGAAGGTAGGTGAAGCTGGATGATTTGAATGAGTCTGCTTAATGTTTTTTTTATATGTACAACTTATTCTTTGAGTGACATAAAATCATGGTTATATGAAGTATCTGTACGAGCGAGGGGAGTTTGTCCCAAAGCTTGCTGCTCGATTAATACCCCCCCATCTAAATGAAGGGGTAAATGTCGGAGTGTGAGTGTGTAAGGACAGGTTTGAGAAAGCCCCTTTATCTGTGCAGTGTTTGATAGTGAACATACAAAATGTATTTGGAGCAGTTTGTATTCAACCACCTGTGGTAAACTTTTGGCCTTTCATCAGTTACTTTAGTTAAATGTGAAAGCGGTTTGTCCTTAAACTTCAGCTAATCATTTCATCTGTTACTCTATTACTTTTTGACTGCCGGCCTTCTATGCCTGCTAACTAGTTTATCGGCACTCTCACCACTTTTAATTTTTCAACCGTCCCAAGTTGATGAGTCGGCCTTGTGACCAAAATGCACAAAAGATCAGCAACACACCAACTGTTAACCTATTTTCAACCATTGTATTCCTCAACAAAACAATCATCACAATTTCTATTTCCTTGAATGAGTTCCCAATCAACCCCCTGTCAACTGTAATACATCCTTTTTGGAGCCGACTAAGTTTCAGCGATATGTGTTAAAGGTGAAAATCAGACTCTGTCTGTTATCAGAGGTTGTGTGCTTGAGTGTGCCGTACATTAAACTCCTCCCTGAAGAGCTTGTTGTCATCGGCCATGCGGCGGTTCATTTCTTCCTCCAGCTTGTCGACAGGAAGAGGCGGGTACTTCCTGTTTGTGCTGGGCGAACGGGCCAATAGCGGGACGCTCTGGAGTTCTGCGCCGGCAAGTAGGAAGGGAGGGTTGAGGAAAAGAGGGAAGGAACAGGAGGGGTGAGACAGGTGGAGATAAAGACATGGGATAAGGGGTCAAGAAAAGGAGAGTTTCATGTCATTTAATAAATCAAGTTAGTCTGACTTCATGATTTGGAAACTTCTCTAAAGTTGGCCACCAGAGGGCGATGTCGTTCAATGCTGTGTGACATATGAGGGAGCGAAATGCAGCTCTGCAGGTTAGGTAATCACAGTGAACAAAAGCCTTCTGGCAACAGTCAACCAGTGAAATGTTATCGGTCAGCGGAGGTGGATCAATCAAGTCTTATCATAAGCTACCCAAAGTTACAAGTTTGGTCAAGCCGCCTGTACAAATTTGCTGATACCACACATAAACAATGGAGTGCTCAGTGAGTGTGCAGCCAGATTTGTGGACTCATACAAAGCACATTCAAAACACACAAGCTCTCACAGGCCAGTGCAAGTGTGGGTGTTTACCTGTATCATCTGATCTCCCGTTGGTCAGCCGGAAGGAGTTTGAATGGCTCCCTGCCTGCTTGTACTTTTTAAACCTGTCAATCAAACACAGATCAAAGAGCATTATCAATACATGGCTACAGACACAGACACAGACACAGACACACACAGACACACACACACACACACACACACACACACACACACACACACACACACACACACACACACACACACACACACACACACACACACACACACACACACACACACACACACACACACACACACACACACACACACACACACACACACACACACACACACACACACACACACACACACACACACACACACACACACACACACACACACACACACACACACACACACACACACACACACACACACATTAAAAAAAACCACACTGCTTTAGCCTCACAACTGAATGCCAATCAGTTGTCGCCATGGTAACTGGAGCACCTTAGGCCTTCACCTTAGGCCTTCACCTCAGGTCTCTCCAGCCAGTGTGTCGAGTGTAACATCAACTATACTTCACCCACCTGAGCATGTAGAGGATAATGATGATGAAGATAATGACCAGCAAGGAGGACAGGGCCACCATGACAGCTATGATCGGCATGTCATCAGACGGGTTGTTGTCTACAGAGACGGAGAGGAGAGGCAGAATTAATGTCTTGTACCTTAAATTTGATTGTTTCGTTAAAAAATGTGTCTCCAAAATTCAGATGTGTTAGGCTTGGTTTGAAATGGATGCAAATGACCATTGCCATGACCAAATTCTTCTCAAATGAGATGGCTTCATACAAGCTTTGGGTGTTATATGTTAAAAGTGATTGATATATAAAAAAACAACTTAAAGGCAGTTACTACTGTATGCACACAAGTAGTCCAGTAAATAACCACAACTATGAATCTAAACCAAATCAAATACTTTCTATTGGTATAGAACAAGACAGTAAATAGTGAGCTTTAATTATAACACTCACTTTTAATGCAAGCTAAGCTATGCTAAGCTAACATAACTTCAGGTAAAGCCTTCCTAGATATCGTGTGTCTGTAAATGTTCATATACTTCTGTTTTTTTTTGTATAAAAACAAGATTTTTAGCCCGTTAACATGCCAGAATGTGGGTTCAATATATAAGCCAAGGTCGTAAAGTGTCCTCTGCCTCTTTCAACACCAGCTTGCATCTTTCCTCTTCAAAAATCGTTATCCATGTTAATGTAAAACACTAATAAATATGGAGAGCTGCAACAGGCTTTCCTTTGGAGGGAGCAGATAAATCACAGTTTAAGCGAGCGTGTCGACCCTCGGCTTCTGTAAATCTGAGGCGGCGGCACAGAAACGAAGATGGCATTCAAAAACCAGAAACTTTAAAGATGCTTGATGTGAGTTCTATCTGAATTATTAAGAGTGTAAATGTGAAATGCTCTCTCCATGTTATGAAGAAGAAAGCACGTGAGCCTACTGTGACGCTACTGGGAAAAGGCTTAACATTACAGATAAGATATTACATGGACCAAGTAACCTATTGTTCATGATGCCTCGTGGAGACTACAATGGCTGACCAATTTGAACATGTTCCCACCATGCACCTGAGTTACTGGTTACATGTGATCCTATAGTCTTCCTGGTGACCTTTCACTGGCACGGCTAACACAAAAGACATGAGATTTTCCTGAACAACAGGAGGGTGGTGTACAAAAAAAAAAAAAAAACTGGCTACCAATTGTGTGCTGATGACTGGTCAATAAGACACATTCGGCCACAACAAAAGAAGAGGTTTTTTCTAGAAAACCGTATGGTCGCCGTGACAATAGAATGACAAAATCAGCTGTTACACGGGTTCGACTCAGAATTCAAGAAAGCTCTTAACATCGCTCGACATAATGTTGCTTGCTTCACATGCACTTTCTGGAAGAAGTAGTTTGGAACACTGCCCACTTGTATGTTTGCATTTTCACTTGCAGTTTCCCAGGACTTTATTCTGGCATTCCTCCTTAGACAAAGTGTACATTGAATGGAGGGAGCAGGAGCACAACAGGCTGTGGGTATCATGTGGAGCTGACCCAGCCTGGAAGGATCTGATGCCATCTAGAAGCGCTCACAGCCTTTAACACGCGGCTCGCAGACGGCCAGAAGGGAGAGACAATAGAGCAATTACATAACGCCTGCCAACCCAAAGTGATTGTTATATAATGGACATGCTATATAGTCGAGCAGGCACATCTATTATGACTAGGAAGGTTAAACAGTTCTCTGAACTTGTACGGCTTCCCATCACGTCCTCAAATCGATTCTTGAAGAGTTTTTGAACCAAAACTTTTGCTGCATCTGCTGCAGGATGATTGAATGCAGTTTTTTATGGTCTATAGCAAAAAAAAAATCCTTCAAAATCAATTAGTGACATCTGATAGTGATATGTGCATTTCTCTATAATCATGCAATATGAATAATTAATGGCAAAGAAAAGGGTGGGAGGAGTCATGTTTCAAAGAGAAGGATGTGACTAGAAGGGCCAGTCTACAAACACAAAACTAAGAAATAGATCTTTTTGAGTAAATAACTTCAAATTCCAAGGTTTTCTCCAGTTTTAGCATGAAGCCTGAACATAGGCATACATGCATTACAAAGATGCATAGAAATCAACCCTCATCACTTTGGGTAGTGTCTGCCTGGATGACAGGTCAAGTGCAGCTGCTATTTCCAGCACTGCTACAATGGAGTCTAAGAGCAGAGGAGTGTTCGACGATCTAAAATATTAAAGGTCAACTCTTGACCAGAATACTTACTTGCTCTTTCTATCTGTTTGCTGCTGTTTTTGCAGCCTTCATGAATAACCCACATCCAAATGGAACACCTCAAAAACACCCTGATACTCTTAAAGTGGTTCTACAGTCCATCACCAGAGTGTGATGGTAATGACATGCAGGAGTCACGGAGCTTTGCTTTCCTGTCACATACAGATTCTCTTTGTCAACTTCTAACGTGTCTTGGATTAACTGATGACAAATGTGCAATACAAGCTCACTAACCATTTACCAAATCTTAAATACAGGTCTGCATGCAAACACAATGTATTTAGAGTCTGTGAGGATTGCAAACATCATCCAGGAGAAACAGATAAGCAAACATTATCGCCAAATGACCTTTAAAGTGGGCGCGAGGGGAAGCCTCTAGCAGCTGATATGTATACAACTGTGTCAAACAACTTTTGAAGTATGAAACTGAAACAATGTACTGAACAGATACAGAGAGTTAATCAGGCTATTTCTATTCTTTCCACAATTTTACTAAAGAACAAAATCAAATGAGAGCAAAAGAGAACCACTGCAGTTGTTAATAACGTTACAGACTAAAAGGCTGCGTCAGATGTTAGAGAATTCATAATTCACCAATCCAATGAGATTTTATATCAGCCTTGACTTGTTTCCTATTCTCCCAAACAATAGCCTACAGAGCAGCTATTTGTATTTTAGCTGCCAATGTCAAGTCTTATATTTAATGCAGCACAAAATAACAAATAAATCAGATCAATTATCAGATGGAAAAAGTAAACAACAATATACAATGTTCCTCCAAGACACATTTTACACCATTTCTTTTATTATAGGTAAAGAAAGTATTGGTAAAAACACAAACAGCAGTTTGGTGTTTAAAAGACCGGTGCTTCTCTATTCCCTCCAGGATGCAGCCGTTCCACGGCCAATACTCACCCTGTTGACAGACAATCTGTAAATAACGTGTCGTGCAACGATGCCAGTAGCTGTTTTTCCATTGTGTCTCATCAAGTGTTTTTTTTATGTTTTGGGCAGCAGATGTCATTTGTTGGACAAATTCTTGTTTATCATTATGACTAAATGACCAAAATGTCCACTATTGGAGACAGGGGCATCATCATGCAAGCCAAATACTGGGGGTGGAGGGTTAGTTATAGTGGGGTCAGAGGGGATCTGAATGATGAGGCCTTTTGCTGCATATTGAATATACACTTAAAAGACACAAGTGGTATTATTTCTCTGGCAGTCTGAAAGAGGAGAACCACAGTTAAATCATACAAAGTTCCTTGCATCCTAATTGCTATTTTTTTATAGCTTTCATTTATCAAATCATTTAAACTAGAAGCACACATTAAGGTTATAAGAACCTGGATCACCTCAAATGTTACTACTCAACTCGGACTAGAGTCTGCTCAGCCCTAAACACCTGAGAGATACTTTTTCAAATGTTATAACTGTTCTAGATGGCTTCAGCCTGGCATACGGCACCACTGTTAGGAATCTGGGAGTTCTATTTGATAAAGAAATGTGATTCAACTCCTAAATAAAACAAGGACAGCCTATTTTCACCTTTGGAATATTTCTAAAATCAGATATTACCTGTCGCAAAACAATGCAGAGCAACTAGTTCATGCATTTGTTACCTCCAGGTCGGATTATTGTAATTCTCTTGTATAAGGCTCCCCTAGTAAGTCTCTAAAGACTCTTCAGCTGGTCCAAAATGCTGCAGCTCGTGGACAGACTAGAACTATATAAGGGGCCCACATTACTCCTGTATTGTCTTCTCTACATTATGTAGAATAGAACTTAAAATCCCTTTTCTAACCTAAAAGCTCTTAGGGAAGAATACGTGATTTTTCACACTTGAATGTAGCAGAAATCAAGTATATCCTCTGAAAATAACTCTGTGAGTCATGACTGTCTACAATGGGTGTAACACCCGAGTCCCACTGTCTGTGATGTTTTCCAAGGTTTCTGAGTCGTATCTACAGCGTGTTTACATGGACGGGACGGCCGGCTGACTCCTCCCCTCGTGTATAAAAGTTGTTTAATTGAGGGACTAGAGAAAAGAAGAATAACATACTGTACTCACTGCTTAACTGTGTTTCTAGATCACGCTCATTTCAGGTAAATTTACATGCAGTGTGAAGATACGAGCATAATAAAGATCGCTAGCATTAGCATGCTAACACAACAATGCAGCGCCAGTTGTTTTGGTTTCATGCTGGTGCTCAAGGGCGACATCTGCTGGATCAAAAAGTTGCATATTCTTCCTTAAATAGCGAGGCACATCTTATCTTAAAGAGCTAATAGTGCCGTATAACCCTTCGAGAACATTATGCTCCCAGAATGCCTGCTCAAGGTACCTACAGTGTCTAAATGTATTAAAGGAGGTAGAGCCATCGGTTATCAGGCCCTTCTCCTTTGGAGTCATCTAGCAGTCAGGTTCCCAGATTGTACTGTGTACTTTTAAGAGTACTCTGCATTCACATCTTATCACTACATGTAACTATCTGTCATTTTTCATGTACCATTTAAGTTACTAACCATATATCTTCCTTGGAGATTGTGCGCTCCCTTGTCTTGTTCAGAGTACTGCTTCCTTGGAATCCCACCACAAAAACTATTTATATCAGCCTTACATCTAATATCATCTATTAGCTAACATTATGCTAATGTGCTATGCTAAACTTCTTTGTTAGGTGCTCAGCTTGTTTTTGGGTTAGGATTCCCTCATAGTGCTGTATATTTAGCAGTAATATGTAACTTAAAATAGTAGTTTGAAAGTTTGATTTAATAGCACCATATGTTTCAACGTGGAGAATGGCGTCTCTCCCAAGTCCACAGCATGGCCGATTGCCAGTTTACTGGAGTATGTAACTTTAGCAGTGTTATTACTCCTAACAGATTGGGACATAAAGTTCTATTGTTATTAGTATCATCGTTTTCTCATGTTTAGCAGCAGTCATATGATCCAATTATATCAAAGGTTTGCACACAAATTTAAAAAAACAAACATCCAAAAAGCTTGTCTCTTTCCTTGTCAATCTTTAACTTAGCTTAAGACTTACCTTACAAAGCTACCTCTAGCATGTCACAAATGACCCTCTGCAGGGTAGCCATTTAGCCACGGCCAATAGTTACCATGGTAACAGTTGCTTACACATCCACATACTCCCAAATGCAGTTCGCAAACAACGGGCTGTAGACGCTGGCTGAGTCACATTAGCGCAATATCTGGTGATATTACTGTACCTTGCCGGTTGACAAGGTTGTTCAACTACTAATGACGCAAACAAATGCATGTTGGGGAAGGCGTAACAGCAGTATGTGTTATGACACCGCAGTTGCTCTCAGACACCTTAAAAAACAAGTTCCAACATATTGGGTTTTTTTAAAGAACAAAAAATAAAATCCGAAGAACCCGCATTGACATACTTAGCAGAAATTGGTTGTTCAAGACACTACTGTTACAATGCAATGTCACTTAGCCGGCATCCCAGATAGTAACAGCTGGGTAAAGGGGCGAAACTTCAAAACCACACTGCAGACAGAACAGCACTCTGTGTGTGTGTGTGTGTGTGTGTGTGTGTGTGTGTGTGTGTGTGTGTGTGTGTGTGTGTGTGTGTGTGTGTGTGTGTGTGTGTGTGCATCTGTGTATGAATGTATGGCATGTGTGTGCTGTTTGTTTACAGGTTGTGCCTCTTCTGTTACCCTGTGTTAAATCACACACTAATGTTTCACCATGGTACAGTTCATTGTTAAAGTGCCAAAAGGCGTGGTGACAGTGGGGCGTGTTAAGCATGGCTGCGGAACGTTGGTGTAAAAAGAGATACAGACACACGGTCTGAACAGTGCCGTGACGTTTAAACACACTTCTCTGAAGACATTTTGAAAAGTCATTTCTCGCATTCAGTGTGGGTTTTATGTTCTAGCAGAAAGTGTTATAACATTACTCACACAATAGTAAGCGGGTGTTTTTCCATTTAAGATACAATGAGTCACTCAAATCACAACACAACATCTCATCTTGCTCAATGGGATTCTGATCTTTTGCAGTGTACAGCTGGTGGTGTACCTCTCTCTTGTATGATTTGTTTCTGTCCGACTGAAGAAAGGTGGTTTTAGCCTGAATAACCTCACAAAGAAGTAAATAGAGAATAGGTATTCTCACACAAACACTCACCATGTGGGCTGGTGTCGGAGGGGAACTCCATCCGAGGTTCTGTGGTGGTCTCTGTCTCCTCAGTTAATATATCCTCATCACTATAAGTATCTGGAGTTGGGGTGCCTGGAGGGAGAGCCGTGGTCCTGTTGTCTCCTTCTGCTGGGTTGAAAGGAGAGGGGGTCTGGGAGCTCGGTGGTTCCTGAAAGGCATCGGTCGGTGCCTGAGGTGGGGGGGGGACAGCTGGTAACAGCCGTCCAGTGGCATTCGGACCTGCAGGTTCAACATCCTCCTCAACAACGGGGCTTGTAGTGGTGGTGGTTGCTGCTGCTGCTGCTGCTGCTGCTGCTGCACCATTGTGGTCACTGGGATGACTGATGGGCTGAGAGTTGTGGGTGGGCCGGTGGTGGCTTGTGTGGGTGCGAGAGTGAAGTTGAGGGATGGTGCCACAGGGGGGTCTGTAGGAATCACAGTAATGTTAGGAGGACCTGGAGAGAGAAAATAAAAGCAAAGTTTTGTGCAATTTTACAAGTTGACTGTTTTAATTTAAGAAAGAGAATAAGTAAGTGTCTTTAATTGAAGACTTGGTTCATACTTGTGATGGGGACATCATCCTGGCCTGACGCCCCGAGGGCTAGACCGATCAGCAGGAGCAGGGGATACACACCCATTCTGCCCTACATGGAGGAAGCACACAGCAGTGACAGGAGGGTATTAGTTTAAAACAACAAAAAAAAAAACTTAAATCTCATTAGAATCAATCAAAAAAGTTATTAAACTCAAAGATTTTATATCATCAAGATGTAGAGATTAAAGATTTAAGGGGTTACATAATCCAACATATCTATATGAATCATCAATCCTGCTAATCCCACATGTTCTTTTTTTTTAAAGTTAATACTTCCTTTGTGTGTGTATTGCCGTTTACCTGAAGAAGCGAAGTTGGCATCAATCACTCATTCGCAAAGCTTGGTCCTAGAAAGCAAACAAAAGGACACTTTTACTCACTCTGGGACTTTCTTTACTGTCTCGTGCTTCAACAGAAATGATTGAATTTATTCACGAGAACTAGCTCCTTACAAAATGGTTTTGCAAAATCAGCTTCAGGAGGAGTAAAGCAGGACAGCATTTCTTTGAAACACTCACACAGATACTGGATATGGGGTTGAGTCACACAAACTACTTTAAAGATAACTGAATACTGATTTTGCGGCATTTTACCTAAAAAAGAATCCCATGTAGACACTTGGCAACTTCCATTAATAATGATGCCATCTCCACATAATCACGGTAGGGTTACATTTTTACTAAATTGACTTGTTCAGATTACTGTTTTCATGACAATTTTTAAATTGGATTTAAAAAAGATACTACAGAAAGACGTTTAAATATTGTTACATGGGATTACACCACACCACCAAGCTTTCACATTTTCTTCAACACAGGGCTTCATCTTCATTTTTTATGCCAACAGAACATTTGATGCATTCATTATCCAGAGCATGACCAAAACAGAATTAGTGTCACATTTACATTCCTTCAGTGAATCAGCACTTAGCACCCACTGACATGGGGATGAGTGAGAGGAGGATAGAGAGACTTGGAGAAAGCATGACGGAGGACGGGTGGTCGCTCCGGCCCACTCTCAGTCTTCTGTATAATCCCAGAGGCCAACAAGGCTGTTGTCTCCCTGACTGAGCTGTGATAATCCCTGGACCTAATCCCATGGTCTCGACCCTGAAATAATCCAGCCTGTCTGGCTGTGCTCAAAAAGATACTTCAGTGCTGTGCGAAGCCAAGCGCTGCAGCGCTCCAGCACACTAACTGATGCTTTACATCAGGGATTATTGCATCAGTGGGCAGAGGATAAATTGGGCGCTGAAAGCTTTAATAGTGCCAGTTGCCAATCATCTGGTGTTTTGAACCGAGCTCATTCACTGCAGTGCTTACATTCTGGATTTTAGCGCAGCGCTGTTTGGCTCTGACTGCAGCCTGAAATGGGGCATGATGAGCAAGTTATGTTGTCAATGAGGATGCTATTAACCTACAAATCCAATTGTTGCAATCCCTCTCTCCCTTTCCCTCATCCATCCCTCCATTAAGCCACTGAATGCCTGCTTCCAAAAAAGACAATGTGTGTATTCAGAAACACGGACAACGTCGAAACTCAACAAGAAATTTAGGCAGACTTTACTAGGAGCGTCATAATATTTTTATACAAAGCAAGAGAATTTATTTCATCTTACAGCTGAATGAAACTGACTTCAGGGCTGCGACTGACAATTGTTTTTTCACGGATCGATCTGCTCATTATTTCTTCAATAAAGGAAATAAATCATGTGGTCCCTTTGGTAAGCATGGTCAAAAGTTTTGACCTTGGTTTTTCCAGAACTCATCTTTAAACTCCTTGTTTACTGCAACCAACAGATATTCAATGATATCATGCATGACTAATGACACCAGGAAATATTCTAGAGGGAGAAACTGGAAACTGCATTATTTTTGTTTTGTGTTAAATATAGAGTCAGTAGCTCTTTTGTAAAAAAATAAAACATAGTCTTCCCAGCCAATGACAGTGTGAAGGTGAGTTTGGGAGTGAAAACGTTTCAGAGATTGGACCCCATTCGAACCGGCAAATATTGGTCAAGTGGATGTAGTGAGAAAGAAGAGAAAATATAATCACAGTGAAGAGAAACACCACACGGATAACGCTCGTTCTGCAATGAGGGTGAACCCCGGGTTAGCTTTTACCATCAGACGCAGAGTTGGCCTGCTTTCTGTTGGACAGGCAGGTTCCAAACACGTGCAGTTAGCTTTTGCTAGGTTGCTAAAACGATCTGCTTTTCCATTAAGACAAATGTAATAGGCCTATTCTCAGACAGCTTGCAGTGTAGGTACAAGCAGTAAACGTATATACGCTAAGTCCTGTAGTGGGTGTGCATGTCAGGCGGCAATTAGCCCAGTTTGAATGTTGTGTTGTTCTACTGACTCTACCTTTAAGAAATGTAACTATGCTCCAATTATTCCGAAAAATGTTTCCTAATAATTTTTTGTCAATCATGTTGTCAATGCAGCTAATAAAGTTTGAGAATTGAGACAAACTATTTTTTTTTATATATCATTGGCACCTACCCCAGTTGTATATTGCTTTTATGTCCTTAATTCATTTTAAATTAATAAAGTGTCAGATAATTCAATTTTATCAAGTGACAGGTGGGAACAAAGAAAACGTGTGTGTGTTGTTGTGCTGCATCTCGATGTACCTACAGTTGGTCCATGTAGGATCCATGTTGCTTCCTTTCAAGCTCAAAAAGCCCATCACGACCCCCCTCCACCACTATCTATCCTCCCCTAACAGTACTAAGAGCTTTATTATTACACGAGTGACTCAGTGTTTATGGACAAGTTTGTTGATTAAAACTATCCTTTATACATGTGTTAGCTTCAATTCCATGGATCCACCAAGGTCACAAATGGGTATGCTCACACCAGCGAGCTATATTATTAATATTCTTCTCTTAATGAAGCATGACTCATTGCTTTCTGTGTACCATCCAGGGAGGCTGGATGACGTGTCACTGTGTTGGTAGGTGTAAGTGAGACAAGCTGGTCCTTTTGCTGACCTTCGTTTCACAGATGCTGCAGGAGCCCGAGAGGTTTTTATCTGGAGACGGTGAACCCAAGACTACAACTCCCTGGAGATGCTTCTTTATGTGTTTTAGCCTCCTGAGAGGCAGCAGTCTTTAGTGTGTGTGTGTGTGTGTGTGTGTGTGTGTGTGTGTGTCTAAATGCAGGCAATTCTTTATTCAACAGACGTATGTGTTGGTAGAGGACATTATTAATTTAAGAGGTAGTGGGCAAGTGCTTCTATTTGTGCCACTTTTAGGTTTAGTGCTGTCAGGGCTCTCTATTAAAAAGATACAATGGGTGGTTCTAACTTTATGTGATTCACACTTCAACATGGAGTACACCACTGGGTCGTATGTTCTACATTATGACACAGGATATTAACATTCAGTCAATCACGCATTAATATTCGTAGCTAGGCTCTAAACATGTTCCTTCAATGGCTAATGCACATTTTCTCACTGAACAGTTAATCATAGTTTCACCTTTGCTAAAAGAGCATCTCATCAAAATAACACAGAAATGGCTCACTACTACAGTTATTGATTTACTCTCATGTTCCATCCGCAGATATAACTGATGAAGCACTTTCACGTTGTTCTTCCCTTTCCTTTCAATTCAGCCTTCACCTTGGCGCAGCGATAAAGCCAAATGTGAAAAAAGAGGAGAGTAAATACCTTGCCAACAGTTTCATCACGCCATTCCCTGCGGAGGAAACATGTACAGTACATGCCCATCTATTAGTGGATGAACTAAAAGGTAGTCGTGCAGCTTGTGCTCTCCTGACTTTGTGCGTCTCTTGTGCAACCATGTGAATATTTTTCAGACAAAGTGGAGCACATAGAGGAAGCCTTTTAAAGCAGTCACCAGTGGTGGGAGTAAACAAATCGATTTATGTAAAAAAATAAGATTCTTATCTTGTGAGATTTTAAATAGATTCATAACTTTGGAAAAATCCCCAAAAGAACTGGGGGGGGGGGCTAATCAGTCACTCTCTGCTCAGTGCTAAAGCTAGCTCTTTCACTCAGTGGAATGCCAAATAGAGCAGCAAGAAATTCATCCAGTCTCACAGACGACTGGAGTAGATCCTGAATTATGTACTAATTCAAAAATAGTCTTCGAATCCATGGATCCATGGATCCATGAATCCAGACTCATCGACATTAGACTGAATGGAATCGTGACCCCAAGAGTTGAAATTGAATCTGGAGACACCCAAAGATTCCCAGCCCTAGTCACCAATGGGATGAGCTGCCCGATGGCAAAGTGTAAAACTGTAACAGCTTTCCGAAGACTGTGACAGGAAACAATCAAGAAAAATCTAATCTTTTGACTGGAGGGAATAAGAAGTACACAGATGTGACCAGACCAGACACTTGCTTCTTTCTGAAGAGAATCAAATATGACTGCTGGTGTTCAGATCCATCCGACTCTGACTTCCCCTGAACACACTCAAACTCTTGCTATAACTATAACTTTCTCTGATCACATATCTCTTGATCTACATCAGGAACATTTCTCACTTTAGATCGTATGTATCTCGTCAGAGTTCCTGATTTGCTTAAAATGGAGGTGGAGTGCATGGAAATCATATAAAATGAGTCAGATCTCAATTTGCACATTCGATTAGAATATTTGAGGCATTCTACTTGTTTGAAAGTAGTTTGTCAATTTTCATCTTCACAAACTTTTGACTGATAGTGGAACTTACAGCATAGGTCTCATCTCAAAACCAAACGAATCAGGAATTAAAACCTGTGAAAAAAAACACTGAATAAAGCAGGTTCACTTTGGTAATCAGTGTCTCTTTGAGCAGTGGCGTTTCTAGACCACTTTTGATGAGGGGGCCAAACTGGGGCCAGTTGTTGTCAGAGGGGAACATTAAATATAGATTAAAATATATTATGCCAAATAATAGCGCACATCATTAAATACCACAACACAAAATACCATGATTTATTTGTTTCTTAATTTAATACTAGATTGAGAGTCTGGTTGTTGAGTATGTGTTATTAGGGGGGTTCTTCCTTTTGGAGGGGTGGCCACAGGGGGGACCAATCTCAGTGTTACGGGGGCGCTGGCCCCTGTTGGCCCCTGCCTTGAACCGCCCATGTCTTTGAGACTCTTGGGCATTCACAAGACAGAGAGATGTTTCCACTGGACTAGAATGCTGTTTAAAGATTCTAAAATTATTCAGATTTTGAAATCAGCATTGCTAAGGAAACCCATTTTCCAAACATTTCCAGAATACACCCAATAAAATAAATGTGATCAAGAATATGAATGTACAGAAATTCATCACGGAAAATTTAAATATACATATTAAGTCACGAAAGACAGGCTTTTGA